GATTAAACGCACAACAAGGCAAGATTGGTGAGATGGAAGATCGATGAAGGGATTGCGCCAGTGAGCATGTTACCGCCAAGAGACCTATCGAGGCAGAGCATGGGACATATGGGGAGCAAAACATGTTAAACAAGGGGCACAATGGGAGCAAGAGCAAGGCACGACAAACATGGGGCATACTGGGAGCAAGGCACAAGGCACAAGTGACGAAGCTCCTTTGCTGCCACGCGATTACTGACGAAGGGTGTGTCTCCTGGCTGCACTGCCCCTATTACCCTTGACCTCTTTGCTTCCGTCCTGCCCATTCTATTCGGGCTGTGTGCGATGATATGATATGAAATGATATGATACGATAAGATATGATATGATATGATACGATACGATATGATCTGATATGATATGATATGATATGATATGATATGATATGATATTATATTATATGATCTGATCTGATATGATCTGATCTGATATGATATGATCTGATCTGATATGATATGATATGATATGATCTGATATGATATGATATAATATGATATGATATGATCTGGCACTAACTTCACCGGCATGTGAAGCAGCCCAGTTAGGCACACCTGGGAGCACACCATCAGCCCCTACTAAATCGGCTTGTTGAGGCCAGCATCTCAAGAATCATCTGCACTGGCTGGAATCTCAAGCAACCATCACACACTTGCCCCGCTCTTCCTGCCCCCAGTAAAACTGCCGCACTAGTTCAGCACCCACTCAGGATGTTTGGATCCAGTCTAGCAAGAACACGATCGCCGCTATAGAAAATTCTTTGAGGCTCCTTAATAAGGAATCCAGTGAGAGCAGTCTGTAAGAGCTTGCGCTTAAATTGATGCATTAGGTAATGAGCTCATGGTTCTTAACTCTTAAGTACATCGGAAATGAGAAAGGGATGGATGGGAAGGGAATTGGGGGCATTTTCTTCCAATGAGATCGGCTGAAATCTCCAATAGTTGGTTGGATATTACGGTTGATCACATTCGGTTGAGGTTGGGATGTGGGTGTACACCCAACCCACACAAACTACAAACTACACTTAACTAGGATTTAAAAGGTTCAAGTACAAATGTTGATATTGAGGGCTAACTCTAACACAGTCCTGTGAGAGCAGTCCAGAGAGCAGCATTGCCGTCTTGGCAAGAATGCAAGATCCATCAACCTCTGTCCAGTCCAATGCCCCCTTCAACTGGCGCTCTCACAACTTTCAGGCATCAGTAACTTCTGAACCAACTCAGCGAGCCATGCGCGAAGCGAATGCGAAGAGGAAGCCTGAGCCTGCGAGGCTGACAAGGACAGACACAGCTCGACGCAAGCCAAGTGACTTCTGAGTCAATACAAGAAACAGATTGCGAATGCGAAGGGGACAAAAACAGGCCCGCGTGCACTCAGGCCAAGGGACTCTGAACTGACTTGAGTCACGGAATAATTGCCAAGTGACAAGGACAGGCCCATGCGAGTGATTTTTGAGAATTTTCAAAAAAAAACTCACAGGCCCGTCTGAACTCGGGCCAAGGGACTCTGAGCTGAGTTGACTCACGGAATAATTGCCAAGGTGACAAGGACAGGCCCATCTCAACTCAGGCCAAGCCCAGCTGTTATGAGAGCCACACAACACACTCAAAACGCGCTTTGGCTCGGCGGAAAAACTCGGCTCGTGCGCGGCTTGGCTCGACAGGGAGGTGGCTCTCCCCGGTGCAAGCTGCTACCTTACTACTGATACCAAGCTGATACCATAGTATTGATACCAAGGTGATATGTGAAATGTGACATCCGACTCTCACTGCCCCACGAAACATGGTTAAGTGACAGAGACAGTGTGCTGGGGCACTGCACGTAAGCAGCAAGGGTCTAGCAATGGCTTGTCCCTGTCCTTACATGCTGTGCAGGGAGCAATGGCTTGTCCCTGTCCTTACATGCTGTGCAGGGAGCAATGGCTTGTCCCTGTCCTTACATGCTGTGCAGGGAGCAATGGCTTGTCCCTGTCCTTACATGCTGTGCAGGGAGCAATGGCTTGTCCCTGTCCTTACATGCTGTGCAGGGAGCAATGGCTTGTCCCTGTCCTTACATGCTGTGCAGGGAGCAATGGCTTGTCCCTGTCCTTGCATGCTGTGCAGGGAGGAACGCGCTCACAGGTAGGAGAGGAGAGAGAGGCGAGAAATTGCTGCTGGGATGGAGCCAGAGAACCAATTCCATCGAAGGTCCCTGCCATGTGCGCCGCACACAACATGCACAGCACGGGTGGGTCATGAAAAAAAATGAAGCATGGTGTAGGAAAGTCAATTTGGGTGAGAGTCAGGCTTGCACTTGGCTTGGGCACACGAATTTCGACACATTTCAGATGGGTCGGTCGGTCGGGCAGTACAATTGCCGGTCGCTTTCGTCAAACCAGCAACCCACTCTGTGCACCTCACGGACTGACCCACCCGTCTCACCTTATCCCCCCCAGGGGACCGTGATTATTTTGGTGCCTGAACCCCAGAGTAACATGACTTGTGAGGCACCTTAGAAGAAGGCACCCAGCCCGCACCCCAGGGTACTGAGCCCCAGAGTAACATTACTTGAATGTCGTTGAAGAAAGCACACACAAACACAGATCTGCACGATGGCAGTGATGAGGTGAAGACACTCACAAGAAGGCAAGCTTGGTAAGCTGGAATATGGCCGAAGGAATTGTGCCCACTAGCCTGTTGGTTCCAACATTCCTGGTTAGGCGCAACGTGGGGCCCACGAGAAGCAGTTGATGCTGGCGTAAAGGCACAAGCAACAGAGCTTGTCATGGGACAGACCATTGCAGCATGGGCTCACTTGTCATGAGCAGCACTTGTCATGAGCAGCACTTGTCATGAGCAGCACTTGTCATGAGCAGCACTTGTCATGAGCAGCACTTGTCATGAGCAGCACTTATCATGAGCAGCACTTATCATGAGCAGCACTTTTCATGAGCAGGACTTGTCATGGACATGAGCAAGACAAATGCCTTTCTCTTTCCTGCTATCATCACTCTCATCTCGTGCTTTCCACAATTGTGCATTGACACTGACGGCTGGCTATTACTAGGGACGCCCATCCAATCAGGTTCACTTACTATGCTCATTATGTTCCTTACGCTCCTCACCGCATCAAGCTCACTTGGACTTCAGTAAGGGTCAATAATGAGGTTCTACAAGAGTCATGATGCAGGAGGGGGTGGGTAGGGTAGAGGCAGGGCAATGGCTTCCCTAAGTTAAAGCTCTCAAAAGGCATCACATGCAGAAAGAAGATTGGCAGAGATGGAGAACTGTTCTTACAACAAGGTGAGATTGGTGAGGCGGACGATGGATGACGGCATTGCGCCGGTAATTTTGTTCTTGTGAAGAGATCTATCCGGGCACCGCAAGAGAAGGGGCGTATGGGGAGCAAGTGGCGTGGACACAAGGTTATAGGGAGCAGTGCGCAAGCACACACATCCACTAGGTACGTCTCCTCCAATATACCAAATGCATGCCATTTTGGGCACAACAAGGTGCATACACGAGGATATTTAGAGCAGTGCACAAGCAACGCAGCGACTAGGTACGTCTCCTCCTACTAGGTACATCTCCTCCTCCATGCCAAATGCGTGCCTTTCTGGGAAAAACAAGGTGCATAAACTGTTGGAATCTCATATTTTATACGTGTAGTCATTTGTTGTATTGGGGGGTTGATGGGTGTACCCCCCAACCACAACTTGTGGTTGGTCAAGATTGGATTTGGTCCTTGGTCCTTGGTTGGCACTTCCCAGCTATTGGTCCTTAGCCCAACCAATCACAACCAACTCATAATTGTGGCTGCTTGGGCTACAAGCCAACTCACCCATTGGCCAACTTAGAGGCCAATAAAGTTAGCTTCTCTTGCACTCATCTCTTGCTCATTGCTTGTTTTATAGAGCCTCTTGGCTCATTACCCAAGTCAACTTATTGATTTCTAACATACACGAGGTTATATACAGCAGTGCACAAGCAACGCAGCGACTAGGTACGTCTCCTCCTCCATGCCAAATGCGTGCCGTTCTGTGCAACAAGGTGCATACACGAGGTTATATAGAGCAGTGCATGTTGGTGGGTCAACAGATTCACTGCTCACCAGGTTTAACGATCGGGCGAGGCGGGTTGGTGAGCAAAGAAAAACAGAGGCAGGAAACAAACTTGGGGATTCAGTTGAGTGAGGAGAGGGGGAGGATGTGGTGGTGAGGGAGTTGGGTTTTGTTTGGGAGGTGAAAAAAGACAAGTTGGTTTTTCCGGCGTCGCCAAAACGTCCTGCAGTTTTTGTTTTGTTTTGTTTGTTTGCTTGTTTGTTTGTTTGCTTGTTTGTTTGTTTGTTTGTTTGTTTGTTTGTTTGTTTGTTTGTTTGTTTGTTTGTTTGTTTGGGGGGGGGCCAAGTTTTTGGGAGGTATGTGGCTTATCGCATCGCATGTGGTACGTATGACATGGCATGGTCGATGGATGAGGTGAGATATGGAAGCTTACAGGAGTGAGAGGGCAGCCAGGTCAGCAATGCCTTCTGGGATGGAGCCTGACAAAGTGTTGAAACTGAGAGTTCTGCCATGCCAGCCAGATGGGGAAAGGGGCGGGGACAGGGAGAAACATCATGTCATGCAATGTCATGTCATGTCGTATTATGTTGTGTGATGCATTGTTATGTCATGTCATGTCATGTCATGTCATGTCATGTCAAGGGGTCGCATGGCATGGTAGCACAGCAGCCAGAGCCAGAGCTCTAGCAGTGAGTTGTTGGACTATGAGCCTGCACCATCCATCCTACCATCACCATGCGTATGTACCATGACCGTGTAGGGAAGTTGAAACTCGCCGCAACCCTTGATGTAGTCACACACACCTCAACGCAAAACAAGGGTGAATTGAGTCTACTAAAAACAGGTGTGATTTGATTATAATTTCTCAGAACTGGTGTTTAATGAGTTTATTAAAGACAAGTGTGAATCGAGTCTACTAATTAAAGGTGTGAACTGAGTCTACTCAAAACTTGTGCAAATTAAGTTTATTCACAACAGGTGCAAATTGAATCAACTCAAGACACATTCATCCTATCATCATCATGCGTGTGTCCATGATTTAGAAACTTAAGAGGTACCATTTATGCAGTTAGGTGGCTTTTAATTCGAGGTGACGTTTGAGTAGACTCAAAAGCGAACCTCCACTTTCCATCCTACCATCACCATGCGTGATTACCATGAACTTGTAAAGAACTTGAAACTCACCGCTGCCCTCAGTGGAATTGCCTGTAGCATGGTGAGGTGAGGCAGCGGTGAGTCAAGACATGATGGCTGGAACCTCCGCCTCAGTTGAAACTCACCGCTGCCTCGGTTGAAACTCACCGCTGTCTCAGTTGAAACTCACCGTTGCCTCAGTCGAGACTCACCGCTGTCTCAGTTGAAACTCACGGCTGCCTCAGTTGAAACTCACCGCAGCCTCAGGGCATTTGGCTGTTGCATGGCCTAAGTGCTACTCACATTTCTTGTAAGCGGGTGAGGCGAGACATGGTGGGTGGAAGGGAGCCGGTGAGCTTGGTGCTTGAGAGGTACCTGGATGAAGAAGGGGTGTTGTATGTTGGGCGGGTAGGGAGGCAAACGAGTCCTGTTCTGAGACAGCAGGAGGGCCAAGAACCCGGGAGGCGGGTTCTCGCATGCATGGCATGGGAACGGAACGGTTGGCATTGAGGTTGTATGGCAGGCGTGTGAGGCAAAAGGGGAATCAGAAGAGGTTGAATATGGCCGAGTGGAGTCAGACCAGGCATGGGTGGGTGCATAAAACTCATAGTTGCATGCTTTGATGCATCGCCCCACACGCACGGGAGCGTGGTTTCACATAACATGGCATTACATGGCATGGCGATACATGGCATGGCATTACATGGCATGGCATTACATGGCATGGCATTACATGGCATGGCATGACATAGCATGGCACTACATGGCATGGCATTACATGGCATGTCATGGCATTACATGGCATGGCATGGCATCACATGGCATGGCATGGCATCACATGGCATGGCATGGCATTGGCATTACATGGCATGAACTACATGGCATGGCCCCGCATTGCATGGACTATCAAGGCATGCGCTTGCGTGTCATTCATGATCTCAAGTGCGTTCGCATAGCACAGCCTCTCATAATATGCTGGGTCATACAGTTGAGTGAGTGCGGTGAGGTTCCCAATGGCATCTGGAATGGGTCCCTCCAATTGCTTGCCAGTCACCTTCCTACAGGAGGGCATGGGGGAATGGGGGGGCATGGGGGGGGGCATGGGGGAATGGGGGGCCATGGGGGAATGGGGGGCAATGGGGGAATGGGGGGGCATGGGGGGCGTGGGGGTCATCATGGGGGGACATTGGGGGTGTGGGGGGCATTGGAGGCATCATCAGGGGGGGCATGGGGGCATGGGGGCATGGGGTGGGGGCGTGGGGGCATGAATGCACGAGGAGCATGAGGGCATCGGACTGGGGGCATGAGGGGGCACGGGGCATGGGGGGCTTGGTGCTGCAGGGGGAGGGGGGTGGGGGGGGGGTGGGGGGAAGGAGGAGGGGGTAAGCACCGTGCTGTGCTCTAATGAGGTGCCTAAAATGTGGGATCCAGGAACTGTGCTGTGCTGGCTGGATGGGTGCATTGGCTCAAGGCATGATGCGTGCAGTATGGCAGTATGACGTGATAACCAGCTTGCACTGTATGCATGGCCGTCCAGCCTACAAGCATGGTCCAGCAGGCATGGTCCAGCAGGCATGGTCCAGCAGGCATGGTCCAGCAAGTTCATGGCTTTCCACAGTCACTTCCCCCTGGATGCCCACACAGCAGACCATCCAGCTTTAGATCATGAATCTAACCAGAAGATCCATTGAAAAAAGAGGAGGAAAGGGAATGGAGAGGGGGTCAGGGAGAGTGGGGGGGAGTGGGGGAGAGGGAGACCAGGGAAGAGAAGGGGAGGGGAGAGGTGAAGGCGTGCAGGGCGCACAGTGAGACGATGAAGCCAGCCGCATTGCAGCGCACGCCCTCCACCTGCGCGCAGTCCCCCCCCTTGCTCCATCCGCGCAGCTGCGCCTGCCACTGCCCCTGACACTCCGCCAGCACCGCCGCTGCGGGGAACAGAAGCGGAGGGAGGAGAAGGGGGTGGATTGGAAGGAGCAAGGGGGAGCAGGGTTGGGATTCGCAGGGGGGAGCAGGGTTGGGAGTAGCAGGGGGGAGCAGGGTTGGGAGTAGCAGGGGGGAGCAGGGTTGGGAGTAGCAGGGGGGAGCAGGATTGGGAGGAACAGGGGGAATCATCCTCCCAAGTTGGGAGAGCAGGATTAGGAGGCAAAAAGAGGGAGGATAAACGGAGAAGAGAAGGCACGGAGGAGGAAAGGAGGTGGCTGGGAGGAGAGGGCGGCAGTGGATGACGATGGATGCACAGGCGGAGAGGGTAGCGTGGGGAAGTTCACGGTTAGAAAGCATTCACCGTAAGGCCTGTGGGGCGTTTTTGTAAAATGGGGAAGTTCACGATTAGAAAGCATTCACCACAAACAAACTGTGGTGTGCGCCTCGCGTAACGCGTCAACCGCGTTTCAGCTCGAGTCGCACGCCGGAACCGAAACCTAGTTGTCTCATCCGCACCGAACGCTGTTCGGTTGCGGTTGGACATTTTAGGATTCGGAAATGTCTTCTCTACATTTCCCAAACCCTATTCTTCCACCATTCCGTTTTCCCTTGCTTTCCTCGCGTTTTCCTCCTTGGCTCCTTAGTTTCCAGCCCCACCGTTTAGCTAGAGGTTCTCCACATTAGGTCGACATTTCCCACCGTTCCTAGTGTACCGTCCCTAGGTCAAGCGCGTAGGCCGGTAGGCACTATGGCAGTGGCGAACCACCCTAACAGTGGGTAGCGAGGTATTACAGTTTGTGTAACACCTCGCTACCCACTAGGTCAAAACGAGGGTGTTATTTGGCGCAGCGGAATGCCCATTAACACTTAGCCCACAGGCGTTACACTCGTCCCCCCCTGGTGTCAACGTACCCGTTGACGAACTTCAGGGAGTCGGCCCCCTGCTGCTGGGACCTAGATTTCGCAGTGCTGCTAGCTGCGACTTCGCTGGTTGCTCAGGCCAGCGGAGGATCGTTCGCTGGGTTCGCACTGGTTACAACCGCACTTCAGTTCGCGCCAAAGGCGGAAAGTGTGGTCCAGCCGGGATTCGAACCCTAGGCTCTGATTCCAAATGTAACACCTCGCTACCCACTAGGCCAAACGAGGGTGTTATTTGGCGCAGCGGAATGCCCATTAACACTTAGCCCACAGGCGTTACAGTTTGGGAGAGTGGCAGCGACGTGTTTCTCTCCGCGGGCTTCCTATCCCAAAAGCACAGCTTGTTTAGACCGCAATACTTCCCCTTGCTTCCTAGGATTGCGTGGAGGCCAGGGTGAAAACTTTTCAATGCGTGACGCCACGGGACGAGCGGGACGCCGCCTGCGGAAGCTGGAGAGACGCAGCGGCGGCGTAACCCGCGCATCTCATTGAGAAAGAGGCGAGAGGCCGTGAAGGCTGGTGTGCGTGCCGCGCAAAATTTGAAGGTCTGAAACCCTACCGGCGGGTAGGCGGCGCGCGGCATATGTACGGGTATAGATTTGTGACGTGCACTAGAGGCAGCCGCGACCGACCTTGAGAAGGGTTAAGCCGCGTTACGACAGCCGAGGACGGTGAGGCGAGGGGCAGTATGAATGCGATGAGAAGAACGACGACTCTAGTAGGCGACCTCGCCATGGCGGATGCATCTTGCATATTCTGACTGGTCGATGTTTCTGGTAAACAGAAACTATTGTAGGATATCAAGGCTTCGTGTGTACGGTCTCGAACCCCACACCAAAGTCAATCGGGAAAGCTTACGTTCGGAAACGACCTAACGTAAGTCAATGTTCGGTATGGTGAACAGGATCCCACAGGTTTGACGGACTACACGAACACCATTGTTCGCTTGTTACGAAACGCGATAAAGCACACTTTTTTACTGACTGTTTGCGCGTTCTCTTCAACACAGAAGTTATTAGGGCCTAAATTTCTTTTTACTAACCTCGTTGTTCACCCCGGGCTACTTACTGTCTGTTCGCTTTTGAATTGATAATTCTTTCCGTTTGCTGCCCATGTCAAATAAATCAGTGGAAAATAAAGTACGGTACGTAGGTAGATCAGAGGTCCTTAACCCCATTGTAAGTTGCTTCTAACGACCCTCTAGGGGCCTTTAAACGAAGACAGCACCAGAACCACGGATTGCCAGATCCAAACACCCCCTTCAGAGCTCTAGACACCTCCGAACCGGAGCGATTGAACAAACTCAACCAAACCCCATCTCCACAAGGCCAACTAGTCCCATCTCTCCTGCCTGAATCCATTACTCTCGCCGGCACTATCCTTTTTGGCCCATCCCACATCACCTTGTTATTCCCTGCTCCTTTCTTCGCCTTTAATGCATCTACATATCCCCCTTCTCCAGATAGAATGAAGTCCAGCTGCTGGTACAGTAACAGCGAGACAGAAATCCCTGTGCCGAGTGCGACTATAAAGAGGTAAAACGCGATGAACGCCCGGATCGGGAGTTGCTTCCGGGCAGCCCAAAGGGCAGCGGCAAAAGCTTTTGTGGCGGTGGAGACGAAAGAGGTGAGGTCGTGAGGGGGCGTGTGGGGCATGTGAGGGGTGACGTCGAGTGCGGGGAGGAGGAGATAGAGTGTGGTTGCAGTCATTAGGGCGACATAGGTGCAGCTGATGATGGTGGAGAGGAGGAAGAGCAGGAAGTGCCTCTGATTGGCCCGACCCACACAGTTGCCGATCTGGAGTGGTGGGAATGGGAGAGTGGGGGGGGAAGGGGGAGGGGGGAAGACGAGAGGGAGAGATGCGAAGGATAGAAGAGAGGCACAGACGATGTTTGAGTGAGTGAACAAACACACGCAGGAACTCACAAACGGGCAGTGACGGTCCATGCTCAGAACGCACGTGCCACAGCTGCTGCAGTGGTGCTGATGGTGATGGTGTTGCTGATGCGAATGATGATGCCGATGATGATGCCGATGATGATGCCGATGCGGAAGCTGGTGGTGATGCTGACAGTGATGTTTGAGTCACAAGCTACATAGCAAGGCACGCAGGTACTCACGAAGGGGCAGTGGTGGTCCATGTCCATCACGCACGTGCCGCAGCTGCTGCAGTGGTGATGGCATTGTCAATCAATGTATGGTTCACCACTACCATCCTAGGGAGGCAGGCACCTCAGGAGGCAGGCACCTCAGGAGGCAGGCACCTCAGGAGGCAGGCACCTCAGGAGGCACATGGTACTCACGAAGGGGCAGTGATGGTCCATGTCCATCACGCACGTGCCACAGCTGCTGCAGTGGTGCGCACCGGGAGGCTTGGCTCGGGGCGGGTCGCAGCGGCGGCACAACTGCCAGCCGTCAAACGAACCTGAGAGGCAAAGGGGAACCCACCCACCCACCCACCCATGCATGCATGGGTGTGGGAAGACATGGGAAAAGGTAAAGCATGTGAAAGGCACGGTTGGTGTGGGAAAGGAAATGCATGGGAAAAAAGGGCATGTGATGAGGGATTTGTTATGTGGGATGTGCACTGTTGTAGGTGTGATGTGATGTGTTGTATTAATTGGGATGTGCGATGTTGTGACACGTGATGGGATCATGGGAACATCACTTGAGAGAAGTCAATGCACATCTGGCGGCTAAATAAAAGGCATCACAGTTCAATTTCTGTTATGATACAGGCAGTAAGGACTTGGGAAGCTCATAACCGGAGAGCAGTACCTTAGTGGTGGTACCCTTGTTCAGACGTACCTGCTGATACAGTTGGCATGTCTGCAGAGCCGAAAGCAACACGAGTGACTGGGCCGGCCGGGAAGAAAGCGGAGCAGAGGAAGTTGAAGACGGTTTGAAGGGAGAGGAGGAGCGTGATGAGGGAGTGCAGGAGGAAGGGGAGTGACACGGGCAGGAGACGAGGAGGAGGGGGGTAGCGGTGGGAGAAGGGAGGGTGGAGGGGACAGATGACGGGGAAGGTGGTGAGGATGCCGCCAACTGGATACGGGAGGGAGGGGAGAGAAGACAAGAAGAGTGAGAAGAGGCAAAAGATAGAAGGTGGATGGGATAGGTGATGAGGAATCTGTCTGTCCTTGAAGCGAACCAAAAACAGAGGGGAACGTGGTGAGGAACGTGGTGAGGAATGTGGTGAGGAACGTGGTGAGGATGCCACCAACTGCAGACGGGAGGGAGGGGAGGAGAAGGGCAGGGTAGTGGTGACAGAAGGGCAGGGATGGAAGGAGAGAGGAAGAGGGGAAAGGTATGTTGGAGTGACTTTTGAGAATTCTCAAAAGTCACTCCAACATGGGATGGAAGGAGAGAGGAAGAGGGGAAAGGAGCAGATCGGAAGGAATGACGGGGGGTGGGGAGATGTTACAGCTGTCAGTGGGTGGAGGAGAGTGAGTGACGATGGGGAGGCAGGGGGTGAGATTGCCAGCAAGTGCAAAGGCAGGGCGGAGAGAGAGGAGATGAGGGAATTGGAGACGAGGGGAAGGGAGGAGCTGACAGGGAGAGGGAGAATGGATAGGAGAGGGTGGATGCATATGATAAAGGGTTGATAGGAGAGGCGATGGAAACAGTGGTGGACATATGAAACAATATAATATATATATAAAAAAAAGGCAACAGCACCCACCCACACCTTTTTGTGCTCACCAATAATGAACGTGATGAGAAGAATGACCACCGTCAGCACCAGCATGTCCCATGCTGCGATACACGCTCTGCACCTCCTCCTCCTCAACGGCTTCTCCGACTCTGTAGCAGACTTAGATGCAGGGGAGGAGGAGGAGGAAGGAGCAGCAGCGGAGGAAGCGGAGGGGGAGGGGGAGGAGTGGAGATGGAGCGTGAGGGCGCCACAGTAGCCGCATTTGAAGTTGGGGGAGAAGGAGGGGAGGGAGAGGCAGAGGCCGCACGCCCAGCACAGCACGTCATAGCTCGCCCCATCTGTGCTCTCCACGTCCCGATACTCTGCCCGTTGCTGCTGCCCTGCCTGCTGCCATTGCTGCTGCTGCGTCCCTGGCTGCTGCTTCTGCTGTGATGGGTGCTGCTGCTGCTGCAATTGCTGCTGGTGCTGGTGGCGGAACGGCGGTTGCTGTTGCAGCTCTGGGCCGTGAAGATGGTGCAAAAAGACTGGGCTCGAGCCACCGCCTGGAACTGGAACTGCTGGGGCCGGGAATGAGCCCAAGCCCAAGCCCGGGGTTGGGGCTGACAGCTGGTCAAAGTGAAGGCGCTTGGGAAGCAGTGGCACCGAGTCTTCGCTTCTCAACCCCCCTCGGTCTGTCACCTCTCGTCTTCCCTCTAGCCCCACCCCTGCAGAACTCCCAATATCACCGCTCCCAACACCAGAGCGCCCGTTGCCTTCAGCAGTAGCAGCACCCCTGGGAACTCCAGCACTTGCAGGAGAGGCGGTCGGGGCACCACTGGAAACTGCACTCTCGGGCAACCATGCTTCAGGAGCAGCAGCAGCAGCAACCCCTCCGCTTGCTCCGCCTGACCCTGCTGTCTTCCCCCGGTTGTGCACGGACTGGCCTGGCGACCTGTTGAAGGACGAGGACTGGGGTGGGGGGGAGAGGTGGGGAGGGAAAGGGGGAAATGGGGGGGAAAGGTGGGGAAAGGTGGGGAAAGGTGGGAAAAGGGTAGGTCTTCTGCAGCTGTCTTCCCCCGGTTGTGCACAGATTGGCCTGATGACCTGTTGAGGGATGAGGACTGGGGGGAGGAGGTGGGGGAAGGGCGATTGGGGGAATGGTGGGGAAAAGGTGAGCGCCCGGCTGTCTTGTCCTGGTTGGGCGTTGTTGAAGGATGAGGGCTGGGGGGACAGAGGCGGGGGGGAGAGAGGCGGGGGGGAGAGAGGCGGGGCGGGAAAGAGGCGGGGGGGAATGAGGAAAGCGGGCGAAAGGCGGGGGAGAGGTGGAGGAGAGTAGGGGGAAGGGAAGGCCATAAGGCCGGAAATGACGGGTGAAGTTACATGGGGGATTTGGGAATGGGAGACGAAGGGCGAGGAGTCAGAGGGGGATGAGAGCGAGAGACAAGGGGTAGGGCAGGAGAGGGGATTGGAAGCGGGAGAAGAGGGGTGAAGCTGCAAGGAGGAATGGGAGCGGGACACGAGAGCGCGACAGCGACAGCTATGAGCGTGACGGCAGGTAGCTGGGGAAAGCGGGTATTAAGTCGGCTCGAAACGGGGGAAATCGTAAGCGGCAAGTGGAGGATGGGCGTGAAGAAACCGAGATTACGGAAAGCGGGACGGTAGTAGCGGGAGGGGACCGAGAAAGGCAGTCGAGAGGCTTGGATTGGAACCTGCCGCGTTAGAGTCCCGAAATGTCTTACCATTGCGGAAGTAACCCTACGCCCCGCTCCACGAACTTCCGCTGTATCCACACTAAAATCGTAGAAGCTTTACGTTGATGAAATCACATCAACAGGAGGGGATGTTGAGGCTGCTCCGCAAAGGACGTGTTCACTTCGAGCCGTTTGTTTGCGACCCACGATGACTCCCCTGTAAGGTTTCCTGGTTACCCGAAAGAAACCATTAAACGAAACTCATTTGGGGAAGCAGGAACTCTCGTTGTGCTTTACGAAATTTCGATCGCAACCCCTGACCTGCCCTGACTTCCAAAGCCAACAAACACATCCCCCGTAAAACTGCTCATTCATCCGTCCTAAGAACCTCTTGGCATCAGGTTGGCATAAGACAGCGTTATCGTCGGTTCTGTAGGTTTCCAGCATTAAAAGCATAGTTATAGTACGGTTTAAAGATCTACACAACCAGCCATCCACCCTCCAACTACGTGTTGCAGCTCAGGTTCATGGATTCACGCGACCCGACCCAACCCCATTGGGTGCAATGGGTTCTGTCAAGGCTGACCCGATCCAATCCAATTGAGCTGGATTGCAACACGTCGTAAATTGTTTACCGACGCCCATGTCGAAGCCACATCGCTCGTGCAGCTAGAATAGTAATCACGCGTTATTATTCCACGATCGCTGCTCCTCCGGAACGTCAGTAGGGCATGACGAATGTGAACCGCCACCGTATTCTTTGCGCGGGGCCCGCGGAACACTAAACCCAGCGCTGCTCGACCGCGCCAAGCAGTAATCGTCACGCGCGGCGCGCGCACTGCCCGGCAGCATGGCGGCACCGCCATTGGTGTCGCCCGCGGCGCTGGCCGCCCTGGAGAGCGAAGGCTGGCACGTCTCCCCGCACGCGCTGCTCGCACTGCTCGCCGCGAAACCCCCCTCCGCGGACGGCGGCGCACCGGATCCGCAAGCCCCCGCCTCCGCCGCTTCCGCGTCCTCGGCCGGGCAGCCACTTGGCGCGCCGCAGAGCGCGCCGATGTCGGCGCAGCAGGTGCGCGCGGCGGCGCTAGACCTGGACCTCCGGCGGTTCGGCGAGGCGTGCTTGCCGGACGACGTGAACCGCGCCGAGTACCGCCGCCTGTCGGGGAGGCTCGTCGTGCAGGTGAGTCCGTAGCCCTTGCCTTCCGCACCCCTCTCTTCGCACTCCCCTTGCTCCCCGCGCTTTCTTTGTTCCCCTACGCCCCCCTTCACTCCCCGTGCTCCCCCCTCGCTCTCCGCGCCCCCCTTGCGCCCTCCTTGCGCCCCGCCAGGTGGTCTCAGCCGTGAACGTGTGCGAGCCCAGGGGCGGGGAGGACGCTGACTCACCTTGCTCTGCACTCCCTGCGCTCCCCCTGCTGCCCGCGCCAGGTAGTGTCAGCCGTAAATGTGTGCGAGCCCAAAGGCGGGGAGGACGCTGAGTCAGCCGCCGCTGCTGCTGACGAGGACGACCGCTGGGATGACGACAACAATCCGCCCGCCCCCACTGCTCCCTCTGCTGCTGCTGCTTCCGCTGTTGGTGTGGATGGGCTGGGAGGGCGAGGTGCTGTGGGTGGCAGTGGGGGGCGAAGGCTGCTGCGCGTTCGGGTGACGGACGGCAAGAGGAATGCGAGTGCTGTGGAGATGCACCCCTGCCCGCACGTGCCCGCTGCTCTTGCTCCAGGCACCAAGGTACTTTGTCTCAACTCAACACCAACGCTCCCTGCATCACTTTGACTTGACAGATTCTTTTGTCCTCATGTGCCGGCCGCTCTTGCTCGGGGCCAAGGTGGTTTCGTTGGACAAGCCCCATGCATGCATGCAACGCCTTTCGAGCAGGACTTAGTTTTCATTGGTCGCGCTAGTGGCAGTGTGCATGCAGAGACAGCAACCGCGCATTTCGGCTACCGGTGGAGCTACAGTCAAAATTCAGCGCTCTTTTTTCTCCAGAAAAGCAAGTAACGAAGGGCACGTGTCGCTCATTCCCTCTCCCTGCCTCTTTGCCTTCCTCCCACCTTTCCCCTCAGCTGCTCCTCACGGCCCCCACCATCCGCCACGGCTTCATCCTGCTGGACCCTCACTCTGTGCAAGTGCTGGGCGGCCGTGTCTCCCCCCTCTACGACGAGTGGGACATGCAGCGACGCTACTCCCTCCTCCCCGGCCTCACCCTCTCCGCCGCCGCCTCCTCCTCTGGCCACTCTTCCCGCTCCGCCCGTGCCTCCCCCGCCTCCTCCTCCTCGCTCTCCGCCTCCTCTCTCCCTGGTGCCTCTGCCGGCCCGCCTCCCTTCCGCGGGGTCACAGACGTGCGCCTGCAAGCAGCGCCAGATGTCACGACTGCCACCACACCTGCCGGCACACATGAGTCTGGAGCAGCAGGCGGGGGGCCGGCAGGAGGGCGTGGGGGTGAGGCCAGTGCTGCCGGCTCTGCCCCTGCAGCAGCGGCAGCAGCGGGAGCAGCAGGTAGTGCAGTGAGAGAAGGGGGGGGAGGGTCGGCAGAGGCGGGGGAAGCAGGGGCAGCAGCAGAGGCAGCGAGGGAGAGGGCGGTGGAGCGGGCGAGAGTTGAGGCTGCTGCTGCTCTCAAACACGCTGCTCCCCACGACAGGAGCGCTTCCAGGAAGCTTCTGGAGAAGATGGGGGAGGAGCAGGGGCGAGGCAGGGGCAGGCGGGGGGGGCGTGGGGGAAGGGGGAGGGGGAGGAGGGGCCGGGAGGAGGAGGAGGATGAGGGGACGATGACACTAGAGGAATATGAGGCGAGGAAGGCTATGGGGAGGCAAGGAGGGGGACGAGGGGTGGGGGGGGTGACGGGAGGAACGGGAGGGATGGGAGGAACGGGAGGGATGGGAGGAACGGGAGGGATGGGAGGAATGGGAGGGATGGGAGGGATGGGAGGGAGTGGAGGGAGGGTAGATGTAAGCAGTACAGCACAAGTGATGTCAGATGAGGAACTTGCGAGGAAGCTGCAGGCGCAGTTGGATATGGAGGACATGGGGGGTTTTGTAAGTTGCACACCCTTTGCTCTGCTCTTCTTTGTCCCTTTTCCTGTGGCCGCTCCATACCCACTCGCTCGTTTACCCACTCTCATGCCCCTCCATCTCCTGCCGTCACCCCTCCATCTCCTGCCGTCACCCCTCCATCTCCTGCTGTCACCCCTCCATCTCCTGCTGTCACCCCTCCATCTCCTGCTGTCACCCCTCCATCTCCTGCTGTCACCCCTCCATCCCACTGTCACCCCTCCATCACTGTCACCCGTCCATCTCCCACTGTCACCCCCCATCTCCCACTGTCACCCCCCATCTCCCACTGTCACCCCCCATCTCCCACTGTCACCCCACTCTATCTCATTCCCTCCATCTCCCACTGTCAACCCCCACCTCCTCGCCCTCCCCAGGCACACGCAGCCCACACGCATCCACACGCGCACCACACGCCTCCCACTGCCACGTCAGCATCGGAGCAGCTGTGCCAATCACTGTTCAGCTTCCAACCAGCAGCTGAGCCCGAGGGGAGCTACGAAGGGGGCAGGGGCGGGCGGGGCAGACGGGGGAGGAGGGGCGGAGGGTTTGGAGGGAGCAGCAGTGGCAGATACGGGGGTAGAGGGGGAGGGAGAGGAGGCAGAGGATGGTAATACTCCAGTGTTGAGACGTCCTAAAACTAGCAGAGGGGGGCGGGGCGGGGCAGGCGGGGGAGGAGGGGATGGTGTGGAGGCGGTACGAGTTGTAGATACAGGGGGAGGCAGAGCGGGAAACAGAGGGTGGTAATATTTTTCAGCTCGATGAAGATGATTTTTTGCACTAGAATCACACCACTTTATTGTCTCATACGCTTCTAGTTTACATTGAAACATTGGCTTGGCGGACCCATGGTGCACCTAAGATTAAATCCGTGGGATTACAGTGTTATCTGGTTACGCAGTATTTCATGCCGATGGCACTCTTGGGGGGTCTTGATGCTGAATACCATAGGAACTTTTGCATGAACACACCTATGAATCGTTTAGGATAGATCAAGCTGGTTGCAATATTGAAGTGGACATAAGTGTGTTATAACCTCAAATCAAGAAAGTATTACACCGAGACGCTCACGCGAACTTGAGAATGGGGATGGAATGCCATTGAATCTGAGCCCTAGCCCCACGCGGACCGCGACTTCAACCGACCAATTGCCGCCACCACCTCAAACCCAGCACAGCGAGGTGTCGTGGCTTCGCGACAGTTTCCTGTCGGGAGTTGCGACCGAATTGCGGGTTACGGACAATTTCGTCATGAATGAATGCTGTATCGCGACACCACTTCACCGCTTCCCGCACCGCATGTCGGCCAATGCTGACGCGCTTCCAGCCTCCAGCTCAAATATAAATGACAATTCGTGCCTCCAATCCTTCATCAAATTCATTTGTGCTCCCTCAACTTCACTCCCCTCACTATCATCCAATCCTTCATTCTCGTCTTGACAGTCCAACCCGACGCTTCCAGACTCGTTTTCCGCGGCTGCGTGACCACACCACTTAGCGACAGGCGTGCACATATCCGCGAAATATGGCCAGTTCACGGTTCATTTCCCTCTTCGGCCTGCTCTGCATCGTGCTTTGCTTCGCCACTGCTCACGCACAGGCGAAGCCCACCAAGGCGCAAATCAAAGCCGAGCTGCAGAACATGGCGAACACCATCACCCAGAAGTTTCCCAAATACGCGAAATACGCCAAGGACATCAACAAGTACATCGGCCTAGCACGTAAGGTCTTTGATATTACATTATTTTCTTATTACCACGGCTAGTAAACTCGCTTCCTTCTCGTTCAAAACGCCAGCAGAAAGTCCCTCATTTGTAGTCGTTAAAAATGCGGCAGGATACCCTCTTACTAGTAGTGGCTAGCACGCTCCTCTATTCGCTCGTCGCGCTCATATGCTGACCGTTTTTTTTCGTCTTCCCTCTCCCTCTCCCTCTGTCCCCCCACTTCCTCTCTTTCCATCACCAGTGAACTCCAAGTACGATTTCACAGCTCTCAGCGACGCGACCCTCCTACTCCCCAGCGACACGGAGGCCCAGGCCCTCGCTAAGAAGGTCCCCGCTAACAAGGCCAACATTCCTAAAATCTACAACATCACCGCGTACCACATCATCCGCAAGAAGTACACCGTTCCCGCGCTCAAGGTGCTCAAGAAATCGCAGCCACTGGGGACGCAGCTGAAGCAGGCGATGTACAAGGTTTCGGTGCAGAATGGTAACACCGTTTCCTTCGCCAAGACTCCCAACGCCCCCCCTGCCGCGTGGACGACGATCCAGATCGTGAGGCTGTACGCTGGACCGTACTTCATTGCCCACGGCGTGGATAAAGTCCTCATTCCCACCTACACGAAAGTGTAATCCTTCAGGTCACCTGAACGTGGCTCGATCCTCAGTTGACAGTCAGTCGTGCTGCTGGTTCAACCTCTGAACTAGGGATGACTGGAGGTCAACTGGGCATCGCAGTGGGCTTTGTGGTGCAAGTTGTAAATATGTTACTGTCTCTTCAGAATCAATTTTGTGCTGATTAAAGTATAGTACGGTAGCCATATTTTCAGGTTTGTTTCTTGAATCCTCTGTAAGGCTCCAATCATCAGTGCACAGATGAAAACGCTTCCAAGCTTGCCGCTGCCACTGCTTCAGCAGGGTTTGGGATTAGAGGGCAACTGGAATAGTTGTTGCTGCACTGTTAGGAAAATCTGAACCAACCACCAGCTTCTTTCCCTCAGCGTAGGCTTTACAGATGGGTAATTACCTAAATTTGGGACGGTAACAAGCAAGTACGCTTCCTAGAATGCTTTGCGACAGTGAGGGCGAGACGAGCAATCGATTGTGGCTGTCCTCCTCCTCGCACCCGTCGTACTCCCACTCGCCTGACGACACGCACGAACCCATGCGCCTGTGCTGCCGCTGCTGACTCCGAACCTCCCCATTTGGTTTGGTGGAAGCAGGGCGGGACTGGGTGCTTCCGAACCCAGCCGTGAGGCCCGGAACCATGGTGACAGGGGCGGTGGGCGACCGTACGTAGTGGTGTAGAGGCCTCACATGGCCCTGGGGGGGTGTCAGTTCAGGGGAGGGATGATGGGGCACAGGCAGCAGAATATGGTTATTAGACGTTTCACAGTGTGACAGGAGCGGTGAGCGATCAGACATAATGGTGTAGAGGCTTCACATGGCCTTGGGGGGTGGTCAGATTACGGGAGGGGCGATGGGGCATAGGCAGCAGAATATGTTTGAGGAGGGTATGAGGATGAAATGTGGTGGAGTGAGAGTGGGCATTGACTGTTTCACCAACACAGCTCCTTCCCTGTGCTGCCCTTACATGGCCTGCCACGCACACTGCAGCAAACTACCCTTACCTTGCGTGCTACTGCATGCATGCTGAAAGGGGTGTGCCAGCCATGCTGCCTGCAGCACCTGCACACGTCATGCCTGCAGCACCTGCGCACGCCATGCCTGCCCATGCATCATCCAACATACCTCCCCTCCCATACCAGTCAGCCTCCAATCAACAGTACCCGCCAGTACCCAGCAGCACACACCATTCAGCAACCATGAACCCCTTGGAGCACACACCCACCCCTCAGCACCCATCATCACCGCACCTGCAGCTGATCGGTGTGCAGCTGGTCCAGCAGAGACCGGGTGGTGTCGAGCAGCAGCATGCGTGTGTGCTCTGATACCACTGACGCCCCCACACTCATCGCGCATGCCTGTGGGCGTGGCATGCAGGGGAACAAGGAAAACATGGTCATGGGCATGGGCATGGGTATAGGCATGCATGGGCATGCATGGGCATGGGCATGGGCATGGGCATGGGCATGGGCATGGGCATGGGCATGGGCATGGGCACGACATGTACCGCCTGCTGCAGCTCTGGAGCGCCATGCAGCCATGCATCGGCTGTGAGGATGGCCACACAGAACAAAACAGCACCGCACAGAACCGCACAGCATCCTACAGCACTGCAGATGCACGACACGTACCGCCTGGTGCAGGTGTGGGTCGCTGTGAAGCCATGCATCGGCTGTGAGGATGGCCACCCGCTCCCCCGCCCCCACCTGGTGCCATGTGCCCATGGTGACAGCGGTGCAGCGGGGTGCAAAAGGGTGCGGAGGGGTGCAGTGCAGAGAGATGAGGAGGCGGAGAAAGGTTGGCAGTGGAGGGAGATGGATGAGAGTTGCAGGAGTGAAGGCTCAATATCTAGATGAACACAGAGCATCATGAGAAGCGCGCGATGGTAGAGCGCGGAGTGGGCGGGGGTGGAGAGAGGAGAGGGCGGGGGCATACGGAGGAGAGCGGCAGGTTGCCGGCGTCAGAGAGGGCAGCTCTGAACTTCCACGGAGCCCCACTGGCCAGCACGCCCCTCAGCTCCACGTGCAGTGGCAGACCCCCTCCGCCCTCCGCTCCGCCTGCTGCTGGCCCCTCGTCGCCCATTCGGCCGCTCACCACGACTGGCCCCGATGCATAGAGGTCCGGGATGGGGTAAGGGTAGAGCTGGTGCGGGTGGGCAGGGGATGGATGAGATGGGAGGGAGGCGTTTTTGAGTGGACTTAGAGGTGACTTGGTCGCCCATTCGGCCGCTCACCACGACCGGCCCCAATGCATAGAGGTCCGGGATGGGGTAGGGGTAGAGCTGGTGGAGGTGGGCAGGGGATGGGTGTGGTGGACGGCATTTTTTAGTTGACCCGAAGTCACTTGGTCCCCCATTCGGCCGCTCACCACGACTGGCCCCGATGCATAGAGGTCCGGGATGGGGTAGGGGTAGAGCTGGTGCGGGTGAAGTGGGGATGGGTGCGGTGGGTGGCATTTTTGGCACAGTGAGGATATGTGGGAATTGTGTGCGGATCACATGGGGAACACGTGAGAGCAGCAGGTGGCTGTAATCAAAGAGCTCGAGTTGAAAGGATTCATTAAGGTATAGATAGGTTAGGATGGAAGGGAAAGAAGAAACAAGGTAATCCCCGATGAGATCGCTTGGTATCCAACTAATGACGGAAAATCTCTGGTGAGGTTGGGATGCCGTGTGTGCCACCCAACCAGCCCCCGAAACTCCTCCTTACATTGACCGGGCTATCTGCCACGCTATCCCCCCTTCACGCCTCACCTCTTCCTCACTCCCCCCCCTCCCTTCACCTCACCTATCCCTCACCTCACCTCACAGGCGGGCGGCAGGTCACGGATGGCAATGTTGGTGACGATCGGGCGAGCCATGGCCTGCAGCATCCCGTCCAGCCGCCGCCGCACCTCCGCTGGGGGGAGCATGGGGGTTGGGGATGGGTGGTGGGGATGGATATGAGTCACGAGAGGGGTATGTGGGAAGAGCGCATAATAATGGTGACGAGCGGGCGAGCCATGGCTTGCAGCATCCCGTCCAGCCGCCGGCGCACTGCAGCTGGGGGAAGGATGGGGCCGCGAGTGGGGGCGGGGATGGCGGGTGGGGGAATGGGGAGTGAGAGAGGAAATGGGTATGCGAAATGCGCATAGCCTGCAGCATCCCATCCAGCCGCCTGCGCACAACCGCTGGGGGGACGCAGGTGGATGGTAGATGGAGAGCGGGGTTGGGGATGGGTGGTGGGGATGGATTTCAGTCAAGAGAAGGGTTTGGGGGATGAGATGTGCATAGGAAGGGTGATGGGAGGGAGGGATGAGATGGGGGCAGGTGAAGATGGGGTGGAGGAAGGTGGCAGCGTGAAAGTGCTTTTGCATCGAGTCCAAGGCCAGCGGCACCGAGGGTGGGATGGGGGGCCTTGCGTTGCGGCAACGACTGCCGTGAAGGTGAGAGCCAGATGAGCGCGACAGGTTGAGAAGGTGTGGGAACGCGAGAAAGAAGGTGAGGAGCAGGCGATACCTGGATTGCGGGTGACCTGTGAAGAGCCATGGGTGGCAGCAGCCAGCCACTTGAGGAAGAAAGGATTCACCGATGGGCCTGATGATGGGGGCATGGCATGGGGGGGATTTGGTGGGGCCGATAGGATGATGGGAGTGAGATGGGATGATGGGAGTGAGATGGGATGATGGGAGTGAGATGGGTGGAAGCTGGAAGAAACGGAGGGTTTGTGGGATGGGGTCTAGGGGATGGATGCAGCACAGGTAAGGGCACGCATGTGAGTCAAATTGGTTCCTGACAAGCCACGTGTCGGACGAGTGGAGCCGGGACATGCCGAGCCGGTGAGTAGGCAGGCTCTTTGCTCGTCCACAAGCTGGAAACAGCTTGCTAAAAGGCCAGCCAAGGCAGAAATCCGTCCATTGGTTCTCCCCAAGTCCGGCTGTGTGGACTCGCTGCCATGTTGATGGGCGCGATCGTGAAACACTGGATCCTTGCGAATCTAGCAACCAGAAAACCAGATTTGCGCCGGGTAATAGTGAAGGAGGAACGGACCAGTCCAGCTCGTCACAACAACCCCGCCTCCTTTTCGCCTAACTTGCTAGTCTAGTTGGGACGAGCCATGTTCTACCACACTGGTAGTCTGCTGCTCCCAGGCTTGCCTCCCCTCCTCCAACTCGGCTCAGATGGCCTTCCTGAGATGGGCCCCCAACCGAAGTTCCCCCAGCAACAGTGCACGGAGCACGTGCCCGTGGCATGGCAGCAAAGGGGGAGGTGAATGGGGACGTCGCATGCGTTGGGAGCTGAGGGCCGTGCGATGCGATACTCCCTCACGTCAACTTTCCCTGCCCCCGAACGTCAGAACGACAGTCGAGCTAGACTGTCACGGAACAAAAAAAATGAACATCATCTGGCGCGCATACAAATAGCACAATGCAATTCCCGTGAGAACCGTAAAATGTTTATCGGTTCCCTCTCAGTGTGTTTTCGACCGTCTCATGGGAGCATGTGGCCGTTGAAAACTATCGCATGAACGTTCGATGCAGACGCATGTGTGTGGTTGTACCAGATCTTTCTTGTTTTTCGCCCTAATCGACTCCCGTCGCATAGCACGTGTGGAGGGTGTAACCAATATCGGATTCTGCCACGCTGGACCAATGGTGCTGCAATTCGATGGGGCCCCATCTCAGGAAGGCGATCTCAGCCTCTTGACTATTGACCCTATACCGTTGGCCCTTGACTCTATACTCATACCGCCGATTCAGTACCCATACCTACCAATACCAAAGGTGACGGCGAGGGGTGGTGCCCTCCCTAGTCGAGGTGACTTATGAGTAAACTCAAAAATCGCTTTCGTTCCACATTGCCGATACAACACACTTACCGATGCCAAAGGTGGAGATGCGAGGGGCGGTGCCCCCCCAGTCAGCCAGGGCGCGCTGCACCCAGTGGCACGCGCGGCGCTCCGCCCGCACCGGGCCGTCGGTTATGAGCACCACCTGCTGCAGCGCTGCCGTGTGGCCCCTCAGCATCCTGAACGCCTGGTGGTGTGTGGTGGAATGGGGTGCAAAGTGTAGGGCCTTCCTGTGATAAGTGCAATCTGCTGCAGCGCTGCCGTGTGGCCCCTCAGCATCCTGAACGCCTGGTGGCGATGGGGCACACATGCGCAGGGTGGGAGATGGAGTGTGACATGGGGTATGGAATGGATTATGGATGGGGTATGCGATGGGGAATGGATGGGATGTGGATGGGGTGTGGATGGGGTGTGGATGGGATGCAGGAGCAGAGTATGAGGCCAGAGAGGGATTATGAGACGAGGACAGCTGAGTGGGCCTTAGCGTCTGAGTGTCAGGATGGGCAGCCATGTTATGCCTTCCAGGAATAAGGGAAAGCCGCGTGTGCAGAATAAATGAACCTGAAAATGGCTTTTACTCACCCCCCCTCATCCCTCCCAATCCACGCTCACCGCTCTCCACCCACCAGCTGCAGCGGCGTGAGCACATTAACCGGCTGCGGCCAGTCATGCGCCTGCAGCACGAACTTGCACGCGCGGCGCACCGCCTCAGGCGAGGCGGCCTCGAGCTCGTCGTCCAGCAGCAGCAGCTCAAATTCAAACGCCACCACTGCGAACGAGTCGTGCGGCTTTAAGCGTTTTAGTGCTCCCGCTACTGCCCTGCGCGCGTCTTCCATTGGGCGACCCCTCAGTCCGCACTCACTGTCGAGAATGAACACCACTGCCCGGCTGAAGACCTGGCAAGGGGTGGAGAGGGGTGGAGTGGGGTGGAGTGGTTGGTGGGGGTGGGAGGGGCGACTGAGGAAGGGAGGGTTGCAATGGAAAGAGGCGAGGCAGCCTCAAGGTCAGGTCATCCAGCAGCAGCAGCTTCAAGCGCCTCAGTGCCCCTGCCACCACTCTTCCACCTCCTCATCGTCCAGCAGCAGCAGCAGCTCAAAGTCAAACGCCACCACCGCAAACGAGTCGTGCGGCTTTAAGCGCCTCAGCGCCGCTGCCACCGCCCTGCGTGCATCCTCCATGGGGCGGCCTCTTAGACCGCACTCGCTGTCGAGTATGAAGACGACTGCCCGGCTGAACACCTGTGGGTGGAGAGGGTTGGAGAGGGGTGGAGGGGGATGGAGAGGGGTGGAGGGGGTGGGAAGGATGACCAGGTAAGGGAGGGCTCCAGAGGAAAGAGGCGAGGCGGCTTCGAGCTCATCGTCCAGCAGCAGCAGCTCAAAGTCAAACGCCACCACGGCGAACGAGTCGTGGGGCTTTAAGCGCCGCGGCGAGCCCGCCACTGCCCTGCGTGCAACCTCCATTGGCCGGCCCCTTAAAGCCGGCGGCCCAAATTGCACAAGCTTTTAAAAGTTGACGCATGGGGTTTTTCTGGTCTGGGTTTAGGCGAGTGACTCCCGATTTCGCTTTTTCGTTAATTTCGCCAAACCCAGCACTCCCTCATATTTCGCCCCGGGGGTTGGGTCTGTCCCTGAAAGTCCCAAATTGCAAGTGCGATACTTATCAAAGATTGCACACTGCACTTCGTCAAGTTTTAAAAGCTTGACGCGCGCGGCCCGCAATTTGGGCCGCGGGCTTTAACCCGCATTCGCTATCGAGGATGAAGACGACTGCCCGGCTGAACAGCTGTGGTTAGGGAGCAGTGGCGAGGGGTGGAGGGGGATGGAAGGGAGGGTTATGATGGGAGGAGGTGGTACGGCCTTGAGCTCATCGCCCAGCAGCAGCAGCTTCAGGCGCCTCAGTGCCGTTGCCACCGCCCTGCGTGCCTCCTCCATGAGGCGACCCCTCAGCCGTGTCTCGCTGTCCAGGATGCACACCACTGCCCGGGTGACCACCACTGCCCGGGTGAACACCACTGCCCGGGTGAACACCACTGCCCGGGTGAACACCACTGCCCGGGTGAACACCACTGCCCGGGTGAACATCACTGCCCGGGTGAACACCACTGCCCGGGTGAACACCACTGCCCGGGTGAACACCACTGCCCGGGTGAACACCACTGCCCGGGTGAACACCACTGCCCGGGTGAACACCACTGCCCGGGTGAACACCACTGCCCGGGTGAACACCACTGCCCGGGTGAACACCACTGCCCGGGTGAACACCACTGCCCAGGTGAACACCACTGCCCGGGTGAACACCACTGCCCGGGTGAACACCACTGCCCGGGTGACCTGCCCGGAAGCAGAAGCGGCTGGCAATGGAATGCAAGGCGAGGCGAGGAAGAAACACGAGCAGGAGAGGGTTGAGGGCATACTGAGAACTGGGCGGGATCGGGAGGAGCTATTGAAAGGGCGAAGGAGGCTCGAGGGTCCGGGTCTCCGATGAGAGGCGCTTGCACAAGCACTGCTGCACTCACGTCCTCTGTCACCACCTGCTGGCACATGCGGTGTCATGCCATGCCATCATGCCATGCCATCATGTTATCCCATCACACCATGCCATCATGCCATGCCATGCCATGCCATGCCATGCCATGCCATCATTCTCAGAACTTAAGCTTAGAAGCGATAGATTAGTAATGAGCTTGAAGCTCTTTAAGTACATCCTAGAAGGGTAAGGAATAGTTGGGAAAGGGAATCAGGGGCAATCCCTATGGATTGGGGGTAATCCCAAGGCAATCTCCAATTGGTGGGTTGGAGATTGCTTGGAGATTACATTTGGGTTTGGTTGGGATGTAGGTGTACACCCAACCAAACACAATGTGCACACTACACTACGCTAGGATATAGAAAATACAAAGTACAAAGTGTGAGATTGAAGGCTAACACTAACAATCATGTCATGCCACCATGACACGCCATGAAAACATGCCACGCCATCACATCATGCCATGCCATCACATTATGCCATGCCATCACATTATGCCATGCCATCACATTATGCCATGCCATCACATTATGCCATGCCATCACATTATGCCATGACGCCATGCCATCACGCCATTGTAACCACCACAAGTCATCACCATGGCACCATGCAATGCAAGTGCCCTATCATGAGAAGCATGGACCATGACAAAATGCCATCAACCAGCCAAGCCATCATGCCACCATACAATGCTGTCGTCATCATGCGAGCAAGCGACTATGCCATAGTGACATGTAATGCCACATGCCATCATGCCATCATGCCATCATGCCATTGTCAAATCATGCCACCGCACTGCACAGCAACAAATATCTTGCTTCTAAAACACCACCACACTACAATGCGTCACTAGCGTAAAAGCAATCATTCTTAAAGCCACAAAAACCAGCCTTATACAGGCTGGTCGGGACACCACATCCAAACAAACAAGTTGCTGACCCTCTTCCCCAATCAATGCTGATGGCAGCAGAAATCCAAGGCAACACAGTTACTCAGGCAGGGCAGACACTGACAGGAGCCCACAGTGGTGCCCACCTGGAAGGAGATGGTGAAGTCGGCGTTGGGCCAGGCGTCGGGGTCGTCATCGCTTTGATGGCCCACAAACGTGGCTCGCCCCAAGTCCACAAACACCACCTGCAGCATGCGTGTGTAGGACGAAAGAGGTGGGGGAAAAGGAGGATGATAGGGGTTGTGTAATGTAGAAAGGCTAAGGTAGGATCGCTTGGTTTGGTAAAGGAGGTCAAGACTCTTTAAGTACATTTCAACTGAGACAAGAACAATGGGAGGAAAATCCAAGGCGCAGCTCACGCGCACCACGTCCTGCACTGCCAGGTCGCCAGGTGGCAAGCACTGGCCATGAATGATCTCCCTCACACCCCATACCAGCGCCCCACCCACCTTCATGGGGTGATTGAAGTCGCCTATCTTCATGGGGCACTGCAGACCACTATTGATGGTGCAGCTCACGCGCACCACGTCCTGCACTGCCAGGTCGCCAGGCACGCAGCACTGGCCATGAATGATTGCCCTCACACACTCACACCCACTCCTCACTCACCTTCATGGGGTGGTTGAAATCCCCAATCTTCATGGGGCACTGCAGCCCGCTGTTAATCGTGCAGCTCACGCGCACCACGTACTGCACTGCCAGGTCGCGCGGCAGGCAAGCACAGGCCATGAATGATAGCCCTCACACACACACACCCCATGCCGTGCCCCACTCACCTTCATTGGGTGATTAAAGTCCCCGATCTTCATGGGGCACTGCAGCCCGCTGTTGATGGTACAGCTCACTCGCACCACATCCTGCACTGCCAGGTCGCCAGGCACGCACTCCAAGGGCACTGTCAGCGGCACGCTCATCTCACTGTACCCCTGCCGCCCTGCCATCACCTCCACGTAGGTCACCCGCACGCGCACACTGCTGCCTTGTGGTACCTGCCAAGGGTTGGGGAGGGGGACGGACAGAGAGAGGAGGGGCACTCCAAGGGCACTGTCAGCGGCACGCTCATCTCACTGTACCCCTGCCGCCCTGCCATCGCCTCCACGTAGGTCGCCCGCACGCGCACACTGCTGCCTTGTGGTACCTGCGTGGGGGAGGAGTATTCAGAGGAGGGATAAACCATACAAAACGCTTGCTTACAATTGAGAATTCCCAAACATCCCTGAACCCATGAGGTGCGCTCCAACCATCGCCTGCATGCATGTATGTCGCCTCGCCCACTTGCGCACACTGGTGCATTGGGGTATCTGCGGGGGAGGAGTGGAGGGGAGGATGGAGAAGGTGCGTGCATGGTTGAACACCGTGGGACGGGAGGCATGGGAAATGGAGGGAGACTGGGAACGAAGATAGGGGGGTAACGGAGGTAGAGAAGGGGACGAAGGGGGCAGAACGGCAAGGATCTAATGATCAATGAAGTCGACTCAAAAGTCACCTAGTTTTGTGCGCACCTTGGGTATTCTGAGCCGTAGCATGTGGGGCGTGTGCACAGGACTCTCATCCAGCAGCACGGCTGCATGCCGCCTCGCCACACACCGCTGCCGCTGCCCTGCACTCCCCTCCACCTCCTCCTCCTCCTCATCCTCATCACCATTCCCTCCCCTTCTCCTCCCACTCTCACCACCCTCACCACTTTCACCCCCACCCTCCCCTCTCTCCATACCCCCACTCACACCACCCTCCTTCCCACTGCTCTTTCCCCACTCGCCCTCTCTACTCGCTTCAGCCCTCCCATCCCCATCTTCCACTCCCTCTTGGCTTTTCCACCGATGCCTGCTGCTGCCGCTCCTGCTGAAGCTAGCAGACGACAGGCGCAGGAACGAGGGCCGGGCGGGCCTGGGCGGCACGGGCTGGGCGGCGGAGTGGGCGGCTGCCGCCCGCTCTTGGCTCGCCCGGCACGCTGCCTCTGCCTCGTCCGCTGGGAGCACTGCAGTTGCGAGGAACCTTCCATCTGCTAGCGTTACCTCGACTGCAGTCACAGAGGCCTGGGGAGTTCAAGGGGAATGAGGGTCGGATGGGCCAACGGGGAAAGGATGGGCATGGGAACCTTGGGGAAACGGGAGAGTGGACGTGGGAGCAAGGAGCGGTAAGGGCCGAGGAGGAAGGGCATGAGTAATTGACTTGAAAAGGGGATAGCGGAATGGAGTCGTGTGGGAATGGAGAGAGGGAGACGGAAGGGGATAGCTGTGGGGTGAAGGGATGAAGGCAATGGTGGGGAGGAGAGAGAGCAGGGGCAAGAAAGGCAGGTGATGATCTGTACTGAGGTTTCAGTGAGTGGAGGAACGAACGATGAGTGCTCAGCAGCACCACACCCTCTCACTCACGCCCCTACGCCTCACACTCAATCGTGCTTGGCAACACACACTCTCGCAACGCCCCTACCCTGTGAGACGTGGGCAGCACAAACAGGCAGTCGCAGCACTGCTGCCGCTGCTGCTCCTCCCCTTTGCCCCCACCATCCCCCCCACCATCTCCCCCACCATTTCCTCCCGCATCCCCTCCGCCCCCCCCTCCGCCCCCTTGCCCGCGTCCCCCCCCATACTCCCCCACTTCCCACGTGCCCTGTATGCTGACACTTGCTGTCGTCATCAGGCACTCCACAGTGAGCGACAGTGACGTCATCATGGCGGGCACTAACCGCGGAGCCGCAGCTCCTCCCCCCGCGTCCGCTGCTCTTCCCCCCTCCCCCCCGCCTTCCGCGCCCGCCCCTACGTCCCACGATTTCGCCCGCGCGTGCGCTCCCTTCCGCTCATGCGCCGCCCCGTCAACCGCAGCGGCGCCGCGCGAGTTGCGCGCGCTGTTTGCGGGAGAAGAGTCGCGCGCATGGGCGGAGGGAAGCGGGGGAAGCGGGTCGGAGGCGGGGGGAAGCACGGCGTAAAGCATGGGGCACGGCGGAACTGCGGAGAAGAGCGGGTCGTCGCGCGCAGTGGCGCGGGCGGATTCGGGACGGGGGAGATCGGAGGCGGAGGCGGAGGGGGGAAAGGCGGGGGAGGCGGAAGAGGTGGAGGCGGAGGAGGGGAAGCCGGAGGATCGCGACGACCGCCCCGCCATTGTCGACTAACCAGCGGCGCGGATTAACTCTTAAAAGAAGGGCATAAAGGATTGGAACTACGGAGCCTGACTGGATTCAATAGCTCAAACTTATGAGCTTACGCTGCCTGGCTAGAACCATCTGCTCAAAGGGAAGGCGCTGCGGTGCGTGACTGATGGCGAATGCTGCCTACCCGCGGGCGCGGGGAAAGCAACGAACTTGCGACCGTGGGTGGGACGGAAACACAGCAATGCGATAAAAGGGACGAGGCAGAGACGGTCGAAGGCATTGGAAAGGCGGCAATTGCGGCGGGCTCACGATGAACGATCGACGTTGAATGGACTCCAGCGCGAGTTGTAACGCCTGTGGGCTAGTGTTGATGGGAGTGAGGTGTAAACTACTCACATCCTTCAAAATTAATTAGACTATATCCTTTTTTTTTCAAAGAATGCACGCCTTTGTCCCATCCAGACAAAAAGATATAATATCTTCACACAAGCATCTCTCAGTCATATAATTTACAAGCATCTCACAAGTACAATAGAGAATCTTAATATTGGCATGCACCTAAGTGGGGTTGACTACGCTGACTTGTCCATTCCCAGGACCTTCTTCCTCTGCCCCATCATGTATGTGTACACACCACATGCCAGCTACGGACCCGATTCGATTGATGGCAGCCTTTTTGCACCCCAGGCCCTTTATGCCTTGTTGAGATTACGGCAGCTAGGTGACAGCATAATTTATTTTCTGACTGGTAGTAAAAAACACTTACCGGTATGTAACCATTTCTTCCTATCCTACTCAGCTAGCCGCTGAGGCCACTCAGACCACTGGAGGCCACTTCAGGTCTCCATTCCTGTGGCGTACCATTCCGTACCATAGTTGGCATGGCATGAAACCCATTGTACATGCATGAGGAGTCCAGCTGAAAATTTGGTAACACAGTTACATCGACTTGGATGGAAGGATCAGCCTCCGAATGGCATGGGCGAGGGAGCGGAGGCTGGCGCCATGGGGATTGGGTCATCTGGGTCCTCTGATAGGGTGAAGGACGGGTGGGTAAGAGAAGCAGGAAACAATGCAGGGGATATTAATTACAGTGCACAGATGCTGGTCCTGTGGGGATCGGGTTATCTGGGTGGGTCCTCTGATAGGGTGAGGGACGGTGGGAGAGAAACGCAGAGGGTGGAAGGGAGAGGCAGGGGTGGAAGGGAGAGGCAGGGGTAAATTCATGATTAAAGCACGCTATGAGAAATTAGGGTACAATTATACAGGGTAGGTTGTACAACAAGAGAGAGAGTACAGAAACCTTACCAATATCGTTGTGCACATAGAAGCTGGCGGCAACGATTAGATAGCTCAACACCAGCATGATGCCCTTGAAATAATTGCTCTCTCCCTCCTGCATGCCGGGCAGACGAAAAGAACGGCATGGAGAGAGGAGACGGGCAGATGAAAGAGATTGCATCAACGGAGTCGGACAGACGAAACAACAGGGCATGTAGGAAAGGGGCTTCTTAATCTGTCTCAAAGCAATGGTTAACGCAACATTGGCGCAACAGGCACAACCGAAGCCCACCTGAAGCGACATTGACCCACTTGGAGCAACAGAAACCCACCTGAAACACACAAACCCACCTGGAGCCACAGAGACCCACCTGAAGCGACAGAGACCCACCTGAAGCAAACCGAGACTGACCTGAAGCAGGGCGGCGACGACAAGCACTGTCATGCAGAGCGTGGCGGTCTCAAAGAGATGGAAGTTGAGATCCATTGGCACTCCCATGGCCCACCCCACCACCACACAGAAGGGGATCTGCGGTCATGCGGGGGGAAAGAGAAGGGGTAGGGAGGTGGGGAGGTGGGTAGGGAGGTGGCAATGTGGAAATGGAGGTGAAATGGGAGTGGCAGCCTTGAAGCATCAGTCCTAACTTTCATGCGGAAGCAGCAATGGTGGTGGGTTGGTTGGTAACTAGTAGCCAACATGGTGAGGCGACTAAGAGGAACTCACTGCGATGCGAACACTAACTATCTTCAGGAGACTTGAGAATGAATCACAGCGAACATGGCAACTTGTGAGATGACTAATAGGAACTCACAACTCACAGAGAAGAGTGAATGTTCTCAGGCGATAAGAGAATGACTCACAGCGAACATGGCGATTTGAGTGGAGGAGCCAATGGCAACCCCGAGGGAGATATCCTGTAGATTGTGATTGTAGTGATTGTAGTGATTGTAAATTTCAGGATACCTCCAAATTATGCTTGCCACGTCCCCTGGTACAGCAGCGCAGAGCGTGTCAATGTCGGCGATTTTCTCGGACGCAACCACCTCGTACAGCTGTACGGCGTAGCCTTGCGCTCCCCGTTTTATCGCCCGCTTAAGCGTTATAGCGTTGACACGTGTTGTCATCGGCTCCGGCTCCGCCCATTTCGGAAGAGTCACGCGCCCCTTGTTGCACAGCACCGTCGTCCAGTCGATCGTAGGATTGAATAGCTGCAGCCAATCTCGTCCCAGCAGCACATCACAACCGTCCAGCGTTGTCGCCAGCATTTGCATTCAAAACTCGAAATCGTTGCCACACTTCATCCGAATTTGTCGCGCCTCGTCCTTGACCGCCAGCGGTGTCCCGTCCACCAGTCGCGCGTCAATCTCGGGCAGACACCTGTCCGCTTAACTCTTTTTTTTTTGCCGTTGCCAGGTTGACGAGACTGTGGCTCGCCCCACCGTCAACGAAAAGTTTTAATTTATATCCGTTAACCCTCCCCACGACCTGCACAGGGTGATCCACGTGTTCATCCACCTTATTCGTACGGTTGCGGTCGATAGCCCATATCGGTACCACTACTCGGTGTGGATGTTGATTGCCGGGCGACGGGGTCTCGTCAATAGGTGACCCGACTGCTACTGACTCGTCTCTTTTCCCAACCCCTCTCCGTCGTTCTTGTTTCCCTGTTTCAGCTTCGGGCAGTCTTTCTTCTAGTGGCCCGGTTGGCTGCAGTTGAAGCACGTGTTAGGTCCACATCTTGGTGCATCGACCCCGCTGATTGTGGGCTGGCGCGGCGGTCCACGAAATTGAGTGCCCTCCCGGGAACTCATTCTCGCCCACTGCATCAGTGCGTCCGTTGATTCGGCCATCTAGACGGCATCAAAGAAGTCGCGTGGCCTCGTCCGTCGCACCTCGTACTGTACTTTGTATTTGAGGCCTGCGACGTATCGGCCGAGTCGCTCCGCATCACTCATGTCGTCCACTTGGTCGGCCGAATTGCAGAACGTCGCTGTGTAGTCTTGGACCGACGCCACCTGCTTCAAGGTACGCAGCTTCATGCGAGCAGAATCCGAGGCGGATACATGCTCGAATCTGGCTCGCAGCGCGGCGCCCCACTCTGTCCATGTGCGTATCTCCGAAGATTGTAGTTGCTCTGTCAACGGGAGTTGTTGTTGGCCCCGTCCTCGCTTGGGCGGAGCCGACTTCGTGGTTGGGTGTACGGGAGGTATAGCCGACTTGCAGCAGTGGGCGACGCCGACTTGGGCGAGCTGGTCGACGGGGTTGGTCGACTTGCATGGGGCCACTGCAATGCCGCCGACTTAAGAAGCCGGCGGCTGACTTCAACTGGTGGTCGGCGATGTGGCACGTTGACCTGGAAGTCGGCACCGACTTGCAAGGTCACCGACTCGCAAGGTCACCGACTTGCAAGGTCGCCGACTTGCAAGGTCACCGACTTGCAAGGTCCTCGACTTGCAAGGTCACCGACTTGCAAGGTCACCGACTTGGGAGGTCGCCGACTTCAAGAGGTCGGTCTGGAAGTCGGCGCCGACTTGGTGACGCCGACTTCGGGTAGCCGACTTGGGTGGTCGGCTGACAACTGCGCTAGTCGACGTGGAGCTGGTCGACCAGGAGTGACGTCGACCTGGAGCTGGTCAACCAGAGGTGTGGTCGACCTGCTGAGGTCAACTTGGGGTGGTCGTCGACTTGGGAGGTCGACGAGCACATACAGGAGCAGCTACATGGTTACCCGGTCGTCCGGGATGCCTGGGTGACGAGGTTCTGCGAAGGAGTGCGACGGTCGCCCAGGCGAAGTTGGCGAGTCCGACCTCGGTGGTGGTATCCCGAGGTCGACGTGGCGGATCAGGTGGAGTCGTCAGCACGAGGATTACTTGGTGCGTGCGCTGTTCAGGTGACGAGGCTTAGCCCGCCAATCATCTACGAGCACCTGCGAAGTAGGTGCGCTGCTGTTCTGCGGGAGCAACGCTGGCACGCCGTCAACCTGCAGCGTTGGCACGCTATCGACTTTGCACTGCTGGAGCGCGGTCGACCAAGTCGTGCTGGAACGCGGTCGACCATGCTGCGCTGGCAGTCAACCGACTTGAATGCTAGCTCTGATGTAGTCTTGCTATGCCAACTGATTTGTACCATTGTTGTCAATTTTTTCTAGTGAAACTCTTGCCAAATCGCCGCCAGCAGCAGCACCGAGATGCTGAAGGAGCTGAAGGGGCTGCTGGAGTCCGCCTTCGAGCTGCGTGAGATCTCGCCAGTGCAGAAGTACCTCGGGCTGGAGATCGTCCGCGACAGGTCGGCGGGGAAGCTGTGGCTGCATCAGCAGGGCTACGCCGACAAGCTGCGTAGCGCTTCGTCAGCGAGGAGCAGACCGGGCGCACCCCGAAGACGCCGGTCTCGGTCGACGCCTACGCCGACCTCACCTTCGACGACGAGGAGGTACAGGATCGACAGGAGGAGGAGTACCGGCAGAAGGTCGGCTCGCTGCAGTTCGCGGCGACGACGACGAGGCCGGACATCGCCTTCGCCTGCAGCAAGCTAGGGAGCGGCCTCACGGTGAGGAGCGACCAG